CACCCTGGCAAGGACTTCCCAATGGCACAGGCAGAGGCAGGGTGGGGCTCCACCAGACCATCACCTCTAGGTGTGCCTGGAGCCCAGAGGGACCGCAGGATCCTTCTTGACACAGGGCTCTAGGAAGCTACCACCTGGCCAGAGTTCACCTTTCCATCTAAAGCTCTTGCCACTGCTGGTCTATGCCAGCCATCTGAGTGCCCCCTTTGGGCTGAAGCCAAGCTCCACGCCCAGTTCTCATCTCCCTGATCCCCAAAGCTGGCTGGGGCCAAGACTGGACATCTGCACTCAGCCCGGCTCAGCTGGTCAGCCCTGCCCGAGTCCATCCTGGGGTGGGGATTGTTCGATGGACCCCTCCATCCCTTGGAAATGAAAATCCCAGAGGGCCAGGGTGAGAAGTTGGACACAGAAAGCAGCTGCTCGGCTGTGCCCTGGACAGAGCCCCTGGAGAGCTGGGTTTTGGTGACAGCAGGGTGTATTGCGGGGCCATGGGGGCAGGTCTGCAGGGCAGGGCAGGTGCGGGAGTCCTGAGGAAGCCCTGCATAGGGGGCATGGTGCCAGTGGCAGGGCCAGACCCATTCCAAGGGTTCCAGTAACACAGGAGAGCACTGGGCTGGGGCAGTGGGGACAGGATGGAGAGGAGAGGGTGCCAGCCCAGGTGGCTGCCCTAAGTCTCATGCAGGCACATCCCCCATCCCTGCCCCACCGGTAACTGTTGGTCACCTTCATGGGCCTTTCCAGAATGATGTGACCTGGTCCCAGCTGGTGCAGATCTAGGGTTCAAGGAGAGTCATGGGCAGGCTGAGCATGGCTTCTGCAGAGGGCAACCGAGGGCTCAGGCCCCTGAGGAGGGGGAGATGGGCAGGGAACTCCATAACGAGACCTTCCAAGCACAGCCTGAGGGGCTTAGTGGGGTTGGGGCAAGATCCTCGTGGGTGGGGTGCCAGCAGGCCTGGCCCAGGCTGGGCAGTGTGCCCTATGATGGTGAATCCAGGAACAGAAAGGGGAGGACAGGGAAAGGCTGGTGCTGTGACCACAAGCCATGCCACACGACTGGGTATGGACTCTCCTGGGCATAGACCCTCCTGGTTATGGGCTCTCCTGGGCATGAAGCTTTCTGCTTATGGACCTTCCTGGGCATGGACCTTCCCGGGCACAGACCCTCCTGGGTATGGACACTTCTGGGCATGAAGCCTTCTGCTTATGGACCTTCCTGGGCATGGACCTTCCTGGGCACAGACCCTCCTGGGTATGAACACTTCTGGGCATGAAGCCTTCTGCTTATGGACCTTCCTGGGCATGGACCTTCCTGGGCACAGACCCTCCTGGGTATGAACACTTCTGGGCATGAAGCCTTCTGGGCATGGACACTCCTGGGCACGGACCTTCATGGGCATGCACCCTCCTGGGCACAGTCCCTCCTGGCATGAGCCTTTGTATTACTCTGTTTTCATACTGCTATAAAGAATTGCCCGGGACTGAGTAATCTATAAAGGAAAGAGGTTTAATTGACTCACAGTTCAGCATGGCTGGGGAGGCCTCAGGAAACTTACAATCATGGTGGAAATCAAAGGGGAAGCAAAACACCTTCTTCACAAGGTGGCAGGAAGGAGAAGTGCCAAGCCAAGGAGGAAGGGCACCTTGTAAAACCATCAGATCTCAGGAGACAACATGGGGGAACCACCCCCTGATTCAATCACCTGCACCTGTTCTCTCCCCTAACACATGGGGACTACAATTCAGGATGAGATTTGGGTGGGGACACAAAGCCTAATTATACCATTCCACCCCGGACCCTCCCAAATCTCACGTCTCTTTTACATTTCAAAACCAGTCATGCCTTCCCGAGAGTCCCCCAAAGTCTTCATTCATTCCAGCATTAACCCAAAAGTCTAAGACCAAAGTGTCATCTCAGACAAGTCAAGTCCCTTCTGCCTAAGAACCTGTAAAATCAAAAGCAAGTTAGTTACACCCTAGATACAAAGGGAGTACAAGTACTGGGTAAATACATCCATTCCAAATGGGATAAACTGGCCAAAATGAAGGGGCCACAGGCCCCATGAGAGTCCAAAATCAAGCAGGCAGTCAAAACTTAAAGCACCAGAATGATCTCCACATCTCACATCTAGGTCAGGCTCATGTAAGAGGTGGGCTTCCATGACCTGGGGTAGCTCCACCCCTGATGCTTTGCAGGGTGCAGCCTCCCCTCCAGCTGCCTTCACAGGCTGGTGTTGAGTGTCAGTGGTCTTTCCAGGTGCATGGTGCAAGCTGTCAGTGGATCTACCATTCTGGGGGCTGAAGGGTGGTGGCCCACTTCTCACAGCTCCACCAGCAGTAGGCAGTACTCCAGTGGTGACTCTGTGGGGGCTCCAACCCCACATATCCCTTCTACGCTGCCCTAGCAGAGGTTCTACGGGAGGTAGCACCAGTGCAGCAAACTTCTGTGTACCTGCAGGCCCAACACCACATGTAAGCCACCAAGGTCTGGGGCTTGCACCTTCTGAAGCAAAGGCCTGCGCTGTACATTGACCCCTTTTAGCCACTGCTGTGATGCAGGGCACCAAGTCCCGAGACTGCACAAAGCAGTAGGCCCTGGGCCTCAGCCAAGAAACCATTTTCTCCTCCTGGGCCTCCAGGCCTGTGATGGGTGGGGCTGCTGTGAAGGCCTCTGACATGCCCTGGAGACATTTCCCCCATTGTCTAGGCTATTAATGCGTGGGTCCTAGTTACTTATGCAAATTTCTGCAGCTGGCTTGAATTTCTCCTCAGAAAATTGGTTTTTCTTTTCTATCCCATAGTCAGGATGCAAATTTTCTAAACTTTTATACTTTGCTTCCCTTTTAAATGTGAGTTCCAATTCTAAGTCATGTATTTGTGAATACATGAAATTGAATGCTTTAAGAGCATCTAATTCACATTTTGAATGCTTTGCTGCTTAGAAATGTCCTTTGCCAGATACCCCAAATCATCTCTCTCACTTTCAAAGTTCCACAGATCTCTATGGAAGGGGCATAATGCTGCCAATCTCTTTGCTAAAACATAGCAAGAATCACCTTTAATCCAGTTTCCAACAAATTCCTCATCATCTGAGGCCACCTCAGCCTGGAATTCATTGTCTATATCCCTACTACTCAACAAGTCTCTAGGAAATTCCATATTTCCCAACATATTTGTCTTCTTCTGAGTCCTCCAAACTGTTCCAACCTCTGACTATTACCCAGTTCCAAAGTCACTTCTGCATTTTTGGGTATCTTCATAGAAGCACCCCACTCTCTTTGGTACCAATTTACTGTATTAGTCTGTTTTCATACTGCTGTGAAGAACTGCCTGAGACTGGGTAATTTTAGATGAAAGAGGTTTAATTGACCCTCAGTTCAGCATGGCTGGGGAGGCCTCAGGAAACTTGCAATCATGGCAAAAGGTGAAGGGGAAGCAAGGCACCTTCTTCACAAGGCAGCAGGAAGGAGAAGTGCCAAGTGAAGGGGGCAGAGCCCCTTGTAAAACCATCAAATCTCATGAGGACTCACTATCATGAAAACAGCATGTGAAAAGCAGCCCCATGATTCAATTACTTCCACGTGGTCTCTCCCTTGACACATGGGGACTTAAAGGCATTACAATTCAAGGTGAGATTGCGTGGGGACACAAAGCCTAACCGTATCAGCCCTCTGTGGCATGGATCCTCCTGGGCATGGGCCTTCCTGGGCATGAGGCTCTCATGGGCATGGACCTTACTGGGCATGGACCCTCCTGGGCATGGGTTCTCCTGGACATGGTCCTTCCAGGGCACAGGGCTCTGTTGTGTATGGGCCCTCCTCAGCACGGACCCTCCTTGGCATGGAACCTCTCTGACATGGATGCTCCTGGAAACGGACCTCCCTGGGCATGGACCCTCCTTGACATGGACCCTCCTGGGCATAGACCTTCCTGGGCATGGACATTCTTGGGCATGGATCCTCCTTGCACAGGGTCCTCCCTGGGCATAAACCCTCCTGAGCATGCATGGCTCCTCCTGGGCACAGAACCTCCTGGACACAACCCCCCCACCCCAGGCACGGAAATGCTTGGGTATGGACCCTCCTGGACATGGGACCTTTTTGGGGATGGAGCTCTCCTGGGCACAGGACCCTCCTGGGAATGGGGCCCTCCTGCTCATGGACCCTCCTGGGCATAAACCCTCCTGCGCATGCACCCTTTTAGGCACAGGGACCTCATGGGGCTCTCCTAGGCATGGGCCCTCCTGAGCCTGGGGCCCACAAACCCCATGAGGTTGGCCCAGACCATGCGGGTGGCCTTGCCAGTGGCCTCTGCCTGCCCCATGTCGGCTGCATGCTCGTGCTGTGCCCCTGCCAGAACCTGACTGCCATCTCTCTCCAGTCTTGCAGAATGCAGAGCTGGGGGGCGGTGCCTGTGCAGACACAGTATGGGATGACAGGATGGGCATGAGCCCGGGCCAGCTGGTCTACACTCGCAGGAGGTCTCTGGAGAGCTCCATCTGTCCAGCGTGGGTTTCAAGATGCCCTCCATGTAGAAACCAGCAGGATGCCCCACCTCTGCCTGGGTGGGCACCCAGTCCCTGCCCCTGCCAGGCGTGGCTTCCAGCCTTTCCCTGAAGGAAGGACAAGAGGGCTGTGTCCCTTGACAGATCCTGGCCGCCCCTCACTGCCACCCCATCCCAAACCACCTCTCACCTGCATGAACTTGGTCACCCCCGCTTGCTCTGCTGTGCAGCCCCTACATGGAGACCAGCTGCTCCCAGACCCACCTTGAGTGAGGAAACCTGGGCTGGGGGCCTCTAGTGTGGTCCCGCCAGGAGCTTCCAGGGGCCCTGCCCATCCTCCAGATGGGTGGGGGGGGAAGGGGTAAAAGGGTCCAAGGAGGGCCTTCAAGTGAAAAGCCCCAAAGGGTCCCCTGGAAGATGTCCCCTGGTCCCCCAAGCCACGTGCTCCCTCCCTGCCTCCTGCCACATGAGTGGGCAACACAGAGGGCCCCACCAGGACTGACTCCGGGCGGGGAGTTTGATTTCAGCCCCAGGGGGTGGTGGCAGGTGTCATCAAGGCCACACCCTGGCCAGCAAGAACCCACCCTGGCCAGGTGAGCTGGCTCTGGGGGTGGCAAGAGTGTGGCCTCGTCCTGGGGGTCTCGGGTTGGCCTGGCTCTGGCCTCAGTCCTCTTGCCCTTATCCCTGTCCCTCTCTCTTCCCGGGAGAGCATGTGTGAGGGCCATCTCTGCCCACCCAAGGCTCCAAGAGGGTGCACAGCGAGTTCAGGGCTGATCCTGGGCTCCTTGCTGCTGGTCCCAGCTTCCCCTGGCAGGCAGCACCTCCCGGAGCCCCGAGGCCTGGCCCCCAGCACCCACAGTGTGCCTCCTAGGTGAGGGTCACACACAGAGAGTCCTGGCTTTTGTGGGCCTTGGTGCTGGAAGGCGCAGCCAGCGCAGACGCCTCCTGGAACTCCTTGGCCATGTAGTAGTAGCAGATGGCATCCAGGCAGCAGTTGGCATCCGAGAGCTTGCTGGTTATGTAGAGGACATGGTTGAGAGTCTTCAGGAGGCCACAGGCGTGGAGGCCCACAGCGACGCGCACCGTCAGGGCCACGTGCAGGGGCAGGAAGCAGACCACGAAGACCACGAGGTTGGCCCAAACCATGCGGGCGGCCTTGCTGGTGGCCTCTGCCTGCTCCACGTCAGCGGGTGGCCTCTGGGCCAGGGCGGTCAGCACCTTCAGGGAGCAGAAGACCACCACGGCCAGCGGCAGGTAGAAGCCCAGCAGCGAGATGGCCACGGAGTTGAAATTGTGCCGGGAGCTCCTGAAGCAGAAGCCGCCCTCCTGCATCCCCAGGAGCCAGCGAGCCACCAGGGAGCTGACCACCAGCACCCAGAGGACCACGCACACGGCTGCAGCCTGCCGGGGGGACCGCAGCCAGCGGGCGCGCAGCGGGTGCCGCACGGCCACATAGCGGTCCACGGCGATGGCCATGACCAGGCTGATGCTCATGTACCTGTTGGTCAGGTAGATGCCCTGGGAGAGCTGGCATAGCGGCGTGTCCGAGGTGTCCTGTAGGGAGTGCAGCACGAAGGGCAGGGCGCACAGCAGGCAGAGGTCGGCCACCGCCAGGTTGCTCATGTAGATGCGGGTCTCCGTCCACTGCTGCATGCGGCAGAGGAACACCCAGAGTGCCAGGCCGTTGAGCAGCAGGCCCAGCACCAGCAGGACGCCTGAGTAGGCGTAGAAGCCGAGCCTGAGCGGCGGGGGCCATGTGATGTCGCTGGAGTTGCAGGTGTTGGAGGTGCCGTTCATGATCCTGGGGCTGCGGGAGGCGCGGCGGTCAGCAGAGAGCCAGCGGGAAGAGCGAGGCACTGCCCCACTCCGCCCACCTGCGGCCAGGGATGGGGGAGGAGGTGAGCCCCGACCCCACATCCACAAGCACAGAACTCCCAAAGAAATCATGGATGCCATAAAGAACTCCAGTCACCCTTGAGGTCTAAGCCCTGGACAGATCCCTTCCCATCTCCCAAGCCCCGCTCTCCTGGGACCTGACTGCTGTCACAGGGCAGGAAGGGAGGCAGAAGGAGCTCCACATCCCCGTTCAGTCCCCAGCTGAGCAAGCGCTGCTCTCCAGAGCTGAAATCTTGGACAGGGAGCCCAAAGGGCTGCCAGCCTCACCCAGCACACAGCTCAGCAGGGAGGGCTGCGAGGCGGCAGCACCTGTCAGCCTGAGGATGGGATGGCTAGGTTCCTGGACAAAGCCCAGGGCGGCTCCTCCACCCCTCCCAGGACCCAGCTGCGGGAGGCACCCACATTCGACCTCACACCTCCACTGCCCTTCCCCACGGCACAGTCCAGGACAGCTGTGGCCTGCCCCTCCCTCCCTGTGAGCACCCACCCACCCAGTCCTGAGCTCTGGAGGGCCTTCCTGGATCAGCCTGAGGCCCCATCCCAGTCCTACATCTGAGATGGGGGGTCCACCCCTTGGGCTCCCAGTGGTCAGAGCCCATGAGGGCAGCTCTGTCCCTCCAGACCCTGGCCGTGCTGCTCAGGGGCGCACCTGAGACCAGCCCAGGGTGGACTTCAGCAGGGTCTGGCGTCCAGGACACGGGCTGGAGTCACCCTGATTCGGCATCCCCCAGGCTGGGCAAACTTGTTTCCTCATGGTAAGGGGTGCCGGTGTCGCACAGGGGTGTGGTGTGAGGTGGAGCTGGTGGCGAGCACCAAGAGCCCAGGACTCACAGCCACATGTCCCCCCACCCGGGCCCCTCAGTGGGTCCAGGAAGAGCCTGGAGGGGCGGGGTAGGAGAAGCCTCTCCCCCGATGGCCAGGCTGTTCTCGGGGGCATCCCACAGGGGCTTCCTGCTGGCCTGGTGTGGAGGTGGGAAGGACAGTTCACAGCGAAGGGCCTCCCTCCTCCCTCCACCTCCTCCCTCTGCCTCGGGGAGCACAGAAATTCCCCCACATCAGGAGAGGGGACAGCGTCTGAACCCCGTGACTGCAGCTGCTCGGGACCATTCGTGCTGGTAGCCCCTGGGGACTCCAGGTCTCCAGTCCATGAGGGATGCAGGGCACCGATTTCAGCTGGAAACAGACACTTTCTGCCCTCTGGCTCCATCCGTCTCCTTAGACCCCTTGCTGGCTTCCAGGTTTCAGGAGCCCTTCCCTGTGGGCAAAGAGCTGGCACCCAGGGCCTCTCTCCTCCCTTCTGATGGACCCGCTTGCTTCTCTCTGATTCACGAGCAGCACCTCACCCTGGTTCCGGGGACCTCTGGAGGGACCCTGAGCCAGGCCAGGCGCTGAGGACATCCCAGAACCCACTGGAACCATCCGCTGGGATCTTCCCTTCCGGCCTGTCCTGTGCTCCTGCGGGCCAGGGGCCGCGAGATCCCAGAACCTGCTCAGAATCTGCACTTCAGAGGCACCTGAGCTGGGCCGACCCGTGCGCTGGGGAGGCCTCCAGGTGACTGGCCTTCCCTTCCCCCACCTGAGCTCTCCCATCCACCAAAGTCTAGGGCCAGCCTTGGGCAGGGCGCAGCCCTGGCAGGTGGAGGGGGCTGCATGGCTAGAGGGCGATTCCTTCCTGTCCCTTCTTGAGCAGCGGCAGCCTGAGACCTGCCTGGAGGGAGGTGAGGGCCGGGGGCTCGTGGGCCTGGCCCCTCCCATTGCTCAGCTTCCCCCTCCTCCCCATGGCTGCCAAGGGGCTCTCAGGCCACACATTCCCAAGGCCGTAACTGTCATGCTAGCCTCAGTGTGGCCCAGTATTTTGTGGGGCACGGTGGCTCACACCTGTAATCCCAACGCTGGGAGGCTGAGGCTGGAGGATAACTTGAGGCCAGAACTTGAAGAATAACCTGGGCAACATGGGGAGACCTCACCTCTACAAACACATGTAAAAAGACGAGCTGGGCTGGTGATGCGTGCCTGTAGTTCCAGGTCCCCGGGAGGCCGAGGCAGGAAGGGGGCCCGACGAAGTTGGGGCTGCAGTGAGCTCCGACCGCACCCCTGCGCTCCGGCCCTAGGAGAGAGTGACACCCTGTCTCTAAGAAGAGAAAACGTCTAACTGCAATATTTAAAATATTCCCATTCATAATAAAACAAACACTGAGCTGTTAGGGAGGAAAGGCAAATGCTGCACGGGGCTCTGAAGATGTTCCCTGTCCATGGGTCCTTGTCACGCCTGTCGGGTCCCTCCCAAAAAATGTCAGGAAATCAAGGCCCAGGCTTCAGCCCAGACAGCACGGAGTCCCCGGGAGCTACCATGGCCAGCACAGGTGCCCACCTACTGCCCCAGCCCCACCCAGGAATCTGTGTCCAGGCCACGGGCCACAGCTGGCCTCCGCCTCAGATCCTCAGGCCCGTCCTCCTGGCAGACACCAGCACCGTCAGCCTCAGGGAGCTCCTGCTGCCAGTGACCGGGGGACGGGGCCCTGCCACTTCCTGCCCAGGAGGCCGTGGGGACAGGAGCCAGCCGCATGCCTCCAAGGGCCCACTTCCCCTTCCGATGACAAGGTCAGCATTGGCTTCCACACACAAAAGCAGAAAGCTGCCCTTGATTCTGCACGGAGCAATCTGGAGAGAAGCCTGGCTGTAGACGGGGAGGCCCAGCGGCACCGGGGGCCTCGCCAGCCCTTCCCACTGTCTGGACCGGGACCCATCTACACCCCCGAGTACCTGGCTGGCCTGGAGCTGGGAATACAGGCCCTGACCACTGCCTAAGACATGGGGGCCAGGAGTGGGGCACAGATCCCTGCTGCCCAGGCACCAAAGAGGGCCCCATACCTGTGAGCCCTCCAGGCCTGGCCCCCACATACAACACCCCAGGACCCAGGAGGGGCCTGGGAGTGAAACAAATTCACAAAGGCAGCTGCTTACCCCAGGCCCCAGCACGGGGATGTTTTACATTCTGGTTTTTAAATGCCACGTCCCACACTTCAGCAAGCTGGTACCCACAGGCTACAAGCCCCCATCAGCCTCAGCCCCACTTGAGACCCCACCACAGCCTCAGCCCACTCTGAGACCCCATCACAGCCTCACCCCACTCTGGGACACCCCATCACAGCCTCACCCCACTCTGAGACCCCATCACAGCCTCACCCCACTC